AAAATTGCTCTTTGTTTAACTATTTTCTCAAAGTTAATTTAATAATGTTAATTATTATTATAAAATACTTACTTAGTCATTTTCTCAAGAAGGTTAGTCAAAACTTTTATTCTTCGATTAATTTAAAATGATTTTCATGCTTTAATGTATTAATTTGGTTTAAATTATTATTTCAAAAAGTGTATCAAATAATTTCTAATTAATCTAGCTTTGTTAGAATTCTATCCATTCGCACCTTAACTCAAATGTTTTGTTTTAGGTCCATTTCTCTAAAAATGAAATAATAAAACGTGTCATTTATTTAATTATTTTTTCTCGAAGTTAACCAAATGTTGTACAGTATTATTCTTATGTTAAATCATTTTTCTAAAGATAGTCAATATATATTTTTTAGTCAAATCGCAGGTCAACCGCATGTTAGCGGACACTTCGAATGCTTAAACCCTTCTCGAAGTGTAAATTGAACCCCGAACCCTCTTTGGTATTTTCAAATGATTTTTTCTGTTTAAATCTTTGAAAATTATAAGTTTTCTTACTTTCTTTAAAAAATTAAGTGGCGACTCTTTTCTAAGTATTTCTCAAATTGCTTTATACTTAGAACATTTCAAAAAGTGATTTTTCTAAAGGTTAGGAAAATTACGGCACGACACTAAGAGTCTTTGTTGTAAATGTTCTTCCACTAATAATGTTTATTTATAATAAATTAAGTAATTCGCTTTTATAATAAAATAACTAATTTAAATATATATCTTTCATTAATTCTTGTTCCACATCTATATAGATCTAGACGGCTTAAAATTAAATATGGTACCTACATCGTAATAATTTGTCAAGCTGATGAAAGATGTATGAACGGCTAAATGGAAATGCAAATGTATACTTTAATATTACAATATTCTTAAAATCAATGACAATATATTTGATAACGACATCTTGCAATTAATATGGTATACCTATAGAAAGTTGAAGTACAAACGTAAAATTAATTTGTAACTATTCAAGCAAAGAAATGGAGAAACTTGACCTAATCGAACGTGTTATTTATTAAGAGAATGAAAAATAAATTAAAAAGTAATCGCTAATTCGTTATTTGAGAACTTCGAAACCTTTCTCAATGTATATATACTAATAATAATAAAAGGGGAACTTGAAATTTATGTATATATACTAATAAAAGGGGAACTAGAAAAAATTTCAAGATCATAAAAGCTTGAATTTTTAACCACTCTATAAATTATTTTAGTTATTTGATGAACATTCGTTATCAACCGATGTGAAATGTTTTAAATGAGAATTAAATTATATTTATAACTAGCAACAACATGGATACCTTCATCCCTTTTGTTATTGATCTGGTCCTTTCTCCTGACCCACAACTTTCAACGTGCATTTAGGGATGCATTTAGTACGCTTCATTCCGTATAATAATTTTTTTCATTTTCAATTTGCCCCAGCTCATCCTGCATGAACTTGCTTCGCATTTTTAAATATTTTCTTGAGTTAAGTTTGATACTAATATAAAATTCATAAAAAGAAATTCACTTTTTTCATTAAGTAGTATGATTAATTTTATAGGATAGTGATTTTAAAAAATATTTTTTAGAGGTCAATTAGGAAACATGTAAGAAATTGTATTATTTTTTGTTGAACCCTTTTAATTTACTATCTTGAATATTTTAATAGTTTTAAAGAAATTATCTTAATAAATAATTTGCTATCCCTCTTATAACATGTAAAAAGTTAAAATTAAATTTAAACGCCACATAAAATCACATATATCTGCAACTCGCTCCACTCTGCATCAGTTTTAAAAAAAACCCACTTCCATCAGTCCCACATCCCACCCACCTTGCATAGCATTAAGTGTCCCACCTAGCATAGCCTTAAATTCACTCTGCCCCACATTCGTCCCACTCCATTGTCATCCCTACATGCAGATGCATTAGATTTGTATGTAATAAAAGCTAAATGTGAACCCTATATAGAGATATCGATTTAATAAGGCAATTTTTATGCCATAATGTTAAATACTGATTAGGATCTTTATTTTTAAAAAAAATTTCTTTCTTTTAAGTGTGCATGGTTCCCCGTATGAGTCTACTGCGACTCCCTTTTTTCATTTCGTTGGAATACAATTTCAACATTTGTATTTGAGTCTGTCTAATTAAACGAAAGATAAAAAGGGAAATAAGTATACAGATTTAGGAAATTTGGGCTAAGAAAACCTAGATTCATTCTTTCTCTTACTTTTATTTGCTTGTAATTAGTTGTTGCAATACTTGTTATTGTAATAACATAGTCGAACTTCTCAAAAGATGAATTTTCTTTTTGTTGTTGATTTACTTTGTTAATGTATTTCATTTATTAACTCTTGATTCATTTTTCATCATTTAAAACAAATATTTTGATCAAGTCTTCACCTGTTTTTAATTAATTGAATTGTTTCAAGTTCATGACTTTTAAATGCATTTCTCTTACTTAATCAATTTATTTTCAAAATTAGTAAAACATCCTTTTCAAAATAGCGAGCCTAATGGCATATATGTAGAATATTTTACATTAGTTTAATGTAGACACTTCATACAAGTAAATATTTATCACGGTAGGGGCTATTGGCCTTAAAAAATATATAAAATATATAGTGTTCTTAATGAGTCGGAGCGACAAAGAGCCTTTTTGCATGGATTCCCTAGATTAGTTGCACGATATTGCCTAATTTAATGCCACTTTTAAAATTCCATCCCTATTAGTTTGATGAGCTAAGTTTCGTCTTTAAAATAGTACGATGAATTAAATTTGGTTCCATATAAATCAATTACGTTTTATGTTTCTATGTTTGTTCTACTTTTCATTTAAGTCTATATTTTTTTTTTTAAATGTTTCTTTTTTTTTTTGACAACTTCTTAATTTCAATTTTTTTACCACAAAATTAAAAGACATTTTGGTACATTTTACATATTTTTAGTTAGTTTTAAGACCACAAGATCAAAAATCTTCTTTTAACTTTTTTAAACACCATATTAAATCAAAACCAGACAAACAATTTAAAATAGAGGAACCATTTGCTAGCAATATAATTTAGGGAATCCGTAAAATGTGGGTTGGGTAGATTTATGACATTTATATAGAACAACACAAGGTGAGAGTAGCAGTGTCTTTGAAACATAAATTAACTTATATAGAAATCAATAAAATCTTATTGAACAGAAAATAAATAACACTCAACTGTTTTTCACCAAACTCATGAAGAGCTTATTTTCGTTCAAACATTTAAAACCAAACACTTAAAAAAACTATTTATTTTCTTAAAAGTTCAGCTCCAAACACTTGTACAAATGCTTAAAAGCTGATTTTATTCATCTAATCCAAACCTATGCAAGCAAAGAGACATGGAACCATTTAAGCTACCACCCCAGATTTTGCTTCACCTTCTCGCAATCCATCCATTGTATCATAAAATGGCTTGTTTAACGTCTCTGGTAAATACATTACCAAAAATCCTCCAATAATACCACATGCCCCAAACAAAGCAAACGGCACATTCCCCCCTAAAACCACCACAAACGGTGCCAAAATCGCCCCCAAATGCACAGCTTGCGTAGCACCTCCCAATGCTACATTTCTCACCTCAGTTGGAAACAACTCCATGAAATACACAAGCGATAAATTGAAAGTACCAGCGATTCCAAATATCCCTAGTAATCCACAAACCATCCGAATCACTCTCCATGTCACGTCAGCATTATTCAACAAGCTTCCGATTAAGCAGAATACTCCGCTGAACCACGTTGTCCCTATGTATAACCCCTTTCGACCAAACCTGTTCAATACTAACGATGTTAATAAATAGGCAGGCATTTCAGATATCGCGTTAAGAGCAACGTTTAGGTATAAATTAGTTCCCAGATTGACCGCGTTCAAACTCAACCCGTAATACACAATGGAACAAAAGAAGTCAGTAGACACAGCTAAGAAAAACCGAATCCGTGTAATAGGAGATCTTAGTACATCTAAAATCGATCCGTTTAACGCTTCTTTCGCATCAAATTGTGAATTAGGAATATCTTCACTATCTAGTGCAAGTACGACACCATTAGGAATGCTTTGTTTGCCATTAGAAACAGCGATTTTCTGCATAATTTTCATTGCTTCGTCTACTTTTCCTCTAACGAGGCACCATCTAGGTGACTCGTGGAGGAAAGGTAATACGAATATAACATATACAACTGATGTGATTGAAGAAGCAATGTAGAGAGAGCGCCAGGATTGGATGAAATAAGCAATGGCGGATAAAACGGCTACTCCAGTAGAGAAAAAGTAGAAAGTAGACATTCCAGCTACGCCACGCCAGGATTGGCCAACAGGTTCAGTAGAGAGAATGGAAGCACAAAGGCCGATTCCGCCAGTGCTGAAACCGGAGAGAAATCGGAACAAGGCGTAGGTCCAGTAGTTAGAAGAGAATGCAGTTAGAATACCAAAAATGGCATTCAAAATGCAAATTATTGCCAGGGTGCCTTTCCTTCCAAATTTCGAATCTGATAAATGTCCAGTAACTCCGGCACCTGAAAATCAATTTTAAATGTATTACTCTACTTACCATTTTTGTTTTCTCAACACACAATTTTCTCTCAATATTTCATAGTTGATTGTATTGAAAGTGACAATTCTGTGTGTAATACACATGTTTTGGGCATGCATACATTTCATAGTACAAGAACCAATTTTGGGCACGTATACATTTCATAGTACAAGAACCAATTTACCAATTTACATAAATATACTATATTAGAAAAAAAAAATTTACTACTTCAATTTCAATTTGTTTGGTCTGCTCTCCTTTTTAGTTCATTTTAAGAAAATGATTCTTTCCCCATTTTAGCGACTTTTTGATTCCGACTTTCTACCTGACATCTAAAGATTGAAAATTTAAAATACATTTTGATACATTTGACAAAATTTTAATTCAAAACCACAAGATTCAAAAGCCTTTATTTTTTCAAGTCAAAACAAATTACAACGGAAGGAAAGTTGCAGTACTTCAATCTTGGGACATATATACAATAGTAATTTTTTCTTCATTTTTTTAAACGCAAATTAAATGATGTCACATAAAATGAGAACGGAGGACGTACCGACCATGCAGCCAGCAAAAAATATAGATTGAACAAGCCCAACCTTATACTTTTCTCCGCATATTAATCCGAATTCAGACATCGTAGAACTTCCCGTTCCACCTGTCCATTCCCACGAGCCGGGCTCTGAAGAACACCGGCTTGTTGTACCAGCGTGGCTCGTCAAATAGTGCCACGCTGGTTCACGATCCGCGAAGATCATGACCATAGAATGAATCCCCTCTAGCAACCAAGCCAAGCTGGTTAACACGAGATGTCTCAGCTGCCACAACCCGAACTCCCCACAGTACTTCTCCAACATCTCATCCATCGTTATTTTTTTCAGGTTCGTCTCGGGACAGACGAGAGGCGACCTGAGGTCGCCTCCGTCTAATCGGTTGTTTGAAGATAACGCAGATGACATTTATTATTTTACTTACTAAAGATATACAAAAACTTGTTGTATTATTTAAAAAGCTATGTAGCTTGCAAATATGAGATGTGTGTACATTTTACCATAAACACCTCTTTTTGTAGACTTTTCAAACGAAATGAGGAACTCATGTCACTGCAAAAATACAGGGTAGAAATTTAATATAGCACTTAAGTATTATTCCCTTAGTTTCTTTTTAGTTGTAATGTTGGCTATCAAAAGTTAATTTAATTATTTTCAAAGTTAAATTAGATAACTTTAATTCGATATATTAAAATAGAAATTTAGATATTAAAAAACTATATGAAAAGTATTGTTATTTTTTTTCATATTAATATGATGAAAGAATATAATACATCTCAAACTGTTAGTCAAAGTTCATATCGTTTGACTCTCAAAATGAAAATTGTGACAACTAATAAGAAAGGGAGGGAGCAGCTTTTTCTTTTTTTTAATTAATTATATACAACGACGTATTGCTATGGATTATAAAAAAAATATGACTGGTACGAATTATTTAGTCACAGATTTCGTAAAATATGTTAATTATTTAGAGTACTCTAGTGTGAAGAATTACAAAATATAAAATTAAACGCGTACCAATTAGATAAAATTTCAAATAATCGACTAAGCATATTCTATTATTTGTAAGTGGGAGTCCATGGTTCGGTTTGGATCAGTTATTGGTTAAAATTAAAATCAAACCAATTTCGTCGGTTTTTAAATTTCTAAAATCAAATCAAACCAAACGAAAAAAATAACCATTGGTTTGGTTCAGTCTTCTTTAGTTTTTCCGGTTTGAAAGTAATAAATTTGTTGAGGGCATACGCATCTCGATAGACATAGACACCTAGTACATGAAAAATCCATCGAAAAATTTCAGTCTTTTTAGTTTTTTCGGTTTGAAAGTAATAAATTTATTGAGGGCATACGCATTTCGTTAGACATAGACACCTAGTACATGAAAAATTCATCCAAAAGCTATTGTGGATTCAATTAAACAATATTAGAGTTATTATTACACGAACAAAGTGATTCAATTTAGAGAAAGTGTGATTATCTATGTGAGGTAGGATAGGTAAAGACTAAAGTAATGAATTTTGATGGATTTAGACTAAGGATTTTAATAGTTGGGCTAAAATTTAATTATTGAGCTTAAAAAATGATAAAGTTAAAGACTTAAGTTGATTAAAATTTAACAAAATACTTATACTTTACTTGTGAATAATATTTAAATAATTATAAAATTTATATATATAATTTCTCGATTCGGTTCGGTTCGGTTCGATTCGATTAATTTTTGGTTTTTCAGTAAAATCAAATAGTATCAGTTTTCAAAATTTAAAACCAAACCTAATCAAACCACACCAAATGTCATTTTTTTAAATCAATTTGATTTGAATTACGATTTGATTTGATTTTTTAACCATAATCATGAACAACCGTATTCGTAAGTCGGCCAACAAGAGAAGATGAACAGGACATTGGGTAATTGGCGTGGATTCCATGCAAGTTGTACTATATATTGTTCCATTTCACTGCTTCACCTTTCTCTTTCAATATACACCCTCTCTCTCCTTCACCTTTCTCTTTCTATATACCCTACCTCTTCTTGCGTATCTCATTTCTATCTTCCTAGAGAATCACGTTTTTTCTACAATAAAAATCAATATATATATATTACTTCCTCCGTCTCATTTTGTGTGAGGTAGTTTGACTCGACATGGAGTTTAAGAAAGAAATGAAGACTTTTAAAATTTGTGGTCCAAAATGATTGATGGAAATTTGTGTGGCTGTAAATCATTTCATTAAGGATAAAATAGACATTTTACAGTTAAATTGTTACTCCCTCCGTCCCATTTTATGTGGCAACATTTCCTTTTTGGTCAGTCCCAAAAAGAATGTCACTTTCCTTATATGATAAGTATTTAAAGGTACAATTTCTCTTTTACCCTTGTTGGTCCCACTTAATCTTAAAATAATACTCAAATACATTTATGAGGAGAGAGAAAAGTGAGTCTACTTTTTAAAAGGCAATTTGGTAAACATTTCAAAGTCTTCATTTATTTCTTAAACTCCGTGCCCGGTCAAATGTTGCCACATAAAATGGGACGGAGGGAGTACTTAATATAGAAATGTGTCATTCTTTTTTGGGCTGACTAAAAAGGAAAGTAAGTCACATAAATTGAGACAGAGGGAGTACGTAACAAACCCAATAATTCTACCAACGCATTGAGACTCAAACAATCGATAGATATATTTCACTAACTCGTAATTGAAATTACAAAGGAGTTTAATTAGGAACTAAAAGGGAAATTGAAGACCATAGATAGAAGAAAGGAGATGAGAAGCAGATCTCATAGAAAGGGGGCGAGAGTACTAGACATTTTTTTTCTCAATGATTTGCATAAACCGCTGCTTCTCATCCATCATCCTTTTAGCTAGTTGTTAATTAGGCATGGGTCCCAAATCAGTCATTGCAAAGGCCTTCCAGGTTTGTTGCTTCTTCTAGGTCCAATCATTAGTTGTGTGACATCCATATATATAGGTATCAGCCTAGGCCAAGGCTGGTTCATAACATATTAACGGAAGTACATTTATTTTTTATAACTGTAAGTTTTATAACTGTAAGTTTTATAGAATGCTTGAAATTAATTATTTTTGTATTACTTCTCTTTTTTCATAGTTTTTCTATATCATACTGATTTAATATTTTTGTATTAGGGAGGTCCAACAATCTTTTGGCGAGGCAATTACCATATAAACATCTAGATAGGAGGAATCGTTTAAAATTCTTTTAATTAAAGTAAAGAGTTTGATTTCCACAAGTAGATTTTGATCATCTGAGTTTATTGGATTTTTTATGTGTTTGGAAGTCAAAGTTGGATGTGTGTAATGTGACATGATGTTGTGTTTGAGGATGGAGCACAGTCTTCGTCAATCTCAAAGTTTGATACAATTAGACGAATTTAATAATGTGGTTACGAGCTCTTTTCTTACTCAAATCCCAAGTGGGCATTGGGACATGACTTTGATGCAAGATTCGAAATAGTCTGTAATTCGAGTACTATCCTATAAGAAGGACCAATTTGTCAACACACCAAGTCAAAGGACTAACAAGTCGAAATTAATTTTAATCTTTTATCTTTAGTTTAAGATCATAAGATTTAAATATCTTTTTAGTTTTTTAATTTTCGTGTCAGGTCAAAACTAGGCAAACATCGAGAGAGTATTTGCAAATAGTTTTTACTCGCATCGCAATTCAGCAAAAAAAGGGAAAGTTCACAAGTGGTAATTAACAAGATAAAAAGAGATAATAATATAGAACATTTACAGTACAATATGCGCGCATACATGATACATGTTCATCATAACTACGTACAACCACCGCCCCCCCACCCACTCCCCACCCCCAAAAAAAAGGTTACAGAGGAATTAAAATAAAAAAGGAGTTGGGGAGAAAGCTGGCGCCAAGGCTGAAACTGGAATTCTCCTGCAAAAGTATTAGTAAGATAAAAATGAAACCGTGAGTGGTGAAACCAGAATTATCGTTAAGGAGATTCAAAATATATATACGGGAGATATAAAAAACAACTTGAAAAAGCACAACAAATTTGTTGTAGTATCAACTAATTATACTCTCTTGCATAATAATAGCTTACTAAAAATTCCTTAAACTCAATAACATTTACTTAAATTTTAAGTTTTAGAATTACTGCAATAATTTGTTTTTCTTCAAACTCCCTGCGGGGAGATCGCTACAATATTAGGTACTACGAGTCAAAATAACCTCAATAACTTTTGGTTAAACTCTATATTTATAGCGAGGAATATAAATTAGGATTTGAAATGCTAATAAGGATTTCCGGCTAATCTTAGTTTACATTTTTAGGTAATAGTAATTTTCTAAAATATATAACACAAAATTGAATGATTTTATTGATATAAAAAAAGAAGAATGAATAAACGGGTTTAATTTGCTCTAAAATTATCATAACTTATAGAGGTTCTTAGTTCAAAATTCGCAATCATCTATTGTCATCATCATAAACATGTTTCACTTGTTGAAGATAAAATTTAATATATTATTTCTAACGATTTAAACTTTTAAATAAAATTTTCATACCTAGTTTCCTCGCAACTACGACGACGGGGTTTAGTGGCGGGTGGGGAAGTAGTTATGACTTTTCTCTTCACATTTCTAGGTGGCAGAGCGTTGTCTTCTGAAATGGCCGAAAGTGAGGGCCTCCAATTATTAGGTACTGAACCAACCAAACTCGTTGGTCCACCTCTACCTCTCCTTCGTCTCCTGTTCTTACGGTTAGTGGGCTGGGCCGGGCCAGGAACGAGAGGCCCGTTGTCTTCAAGTGGGGGCAAACGAGAAGAACAACCACAGCAAGCCATTAGTTCCAAAAGGAACTTCATGTTTATTTTTTTGGGTAACAAGAGAATTAGGAATTTTGTATTAAGCTTTGTATTTAAAGGCCAACTATTAAATCTTGGAGTTATAATAGAGGGACCCAAAAGTAGTTGGTGGTTGTTGTCTTTGGTCTCCCCATCCCATTCTTGTTTTTTTCTCAACTTCCACCTCTATCCTTCTTTACTCCTTATTAATTTCGTGACGGTATTTGACTGGACATAAAATTTATTAAAAAAAAAAACTCAAAAACTAAAACTTGATTGGTGTTTAGGGTCAAGAACAGAAAAAAAAATGAGTAGGATAAGTTTGAGGTCAATTCTCTTTTCTTAGCGCTTGTTCGTTTCATAAGACTTTTTCTCCTTTCTCGATCAGGAATTGGAGGTTCTACCTAATAAACATCTTACTATTTAACGATAAGCTCAGCAAAGAGAACTTATTCGTGGTCTATAATGGATTATTAATATTTGTGTGATGAAAAATTGTTTTATTATACATAAAACAAATGGTTTAAAATTAAATTATTTGTAATGACTTTTTTATTGAAACATATTGAAAAAAATTATGATTCATAATTGAAATACACA